AAAATGTAATTTTCTCTTTTCCATATATGTGATGTTCATTCATAAAAATGGTTATAATTCCTTATTAAAAAATAGTTTATTACCATGCAAATTAAATATTAACTTCAAGTGATAAATGAAACTTACAGTCAAATGCAAACCATGGCAGTGTTGCAGAATTTGGTGGTCATGGGCTGATGGCTAGGTGTTGATCCACTGCTCAGCACCCAGGCGCACCTAATTGCGGCTATTATTATTATTATTATTATTATTATTATTATTATTATTATTATTTAAATAAATACAAAATTACAGAAAAAAAAAAAACCAAAAATTATAAGTGAACAATTTAAATACCGTATAAACAGTTTCCTTTTCATTATATTAATTTAGTTTCACTTCAAAAGTTATGGTTTAATTGAAAAAGAAGTTTGTTCCTAACTCTATTGATTAAAACTTAATTTTTTAAAGAGATTAATAAAAAAATAATTTATCATGAATATTAATCTTAACATAGATGGCTTACTTTTAATTGGAATAAAAAAAAATCAGTCTCCAAATACAAACAAAAGAACCTAACTGCTAAAATAAAATTAAAAAAAAAAAACAAAAACAAAAAACATGAATCTAGTTTCTACTTCAAATTCTAAATATATAAACTAGCTTGTTAGTTGATACCAAATCATCTCAATTTGAAGGTTTTACAGCAAAAGAAACCTGATACAAAAATGCATGATGGATCCCCACAATTACGCAAGTGAAGAAATCTTCTCCGAAGTCAAAATGCAACAAAGAGAACGAGAGACTTGAGAGAGAAGGCAGAGAAAGTGGGAAATTGAGAATGAAATGGAAACCCTAATCCTTGTTTAGTTTGAGGAAAATAAAGGGGAGGAGAGACATGCTAAAATTATAAGAGAAAATATAGAAAAACTTCTATATTCTTTTTCTATTTTCTTTCATTTTTGTTATTTAAATAAAAAAATTTATCTCATTTTTTTCTTATTGAACCAAATAAGTTGTAAGTTGAAGTCATGTCTTAACTTCTATATTTAAAGGAGCCCATTTTTTTCCTATTTTTTACTGCTCAAAATGACGTCATTTTGAAAACAAACTGCTCAATCATCTTCCTTAATTAGTTAGTCGACCAATCCTCCTATTCGTTCTAAAATGCAATTAGTCACAGCTAGGAGAACTGGGCGATTAAATAATCAAGTGAGACAGGTTCAACTAGAAGATTACACCTACCCATAAGATGTGACTGTGAGATGACACACCATATCTTGCGTAGTCAAGATTAGTCACTACCTAGTACTATGCATGGTCTCATGTTACTATTTCTATCCGAATGGGTAAGCAGTTCACCTTCTTAGGGAGGTTTAGTTATTTCAATTCGGACAAAGCTCTCCCTCTCAAGCCTAACTCATTCCGGAGAGCAGTTTTAACTATTCCCTCACTCAATGAGGTCAGGTTCCACTTAGAAATTTGACATTAATTACCTCTTTAATTTCTACAAGAGAAGTTGTCTTTGATTACTCCCAAGGTTAGTTTGAAGACTTTGCTCAGATGTCAGATCTCTTCCCCTCCATATAGATTGTATGTGATTGCCTTTTAAAAAAAAAAAAAAAACTTACATTAAAGAAGATGAGTCTCTTATTTTAAAGTGAAAATTATATTAAATTATAAAATAAAAAAAAATTTAATATCAAAAAATTTTTATTTAATAATTATAATTGTATAATTTAATACAATTATCAGACTGCATAATAGTTAAAAAAATATTTTTGACAAAATAACTTTTATTCGAGGACTTGACTTGAATCTAACTCGAAACGACACCGTTTAATATGGGCCGAACTTATCCCATTTTATGATTTTTTTATCGTCAACCCCAAAGTCCAAACCGACCGCTGTTGAATAATTCGTCTCTATAATATATATA